AAGATGTTATGCTGTGAAACAAAGTTGGTTGTATCTTCAATGAATGCCTGAAGCAAATACTGTCTGACTTATTCTCCCTTCTGTTACTACTTTCCTTAAAACCATCGAGTTCATTTGTTTTAAATTGTGTAGCTGATTCAATACAAGCATTTTGCCTCTGCATACTGTAACGTTGTCACCAATACAGACTCTTTGAGCTTGGTTGTTTCTCGGTCAGGCTCTAAGCTTCCACTGTTATCACTTCTAAAGTGTTTTCAGCTGTGCAAGCCACTGTCCTTCCCATCGTCCAACACAATTCACCACTCCGATATGTTCTGTTAAACACCACTTTCTCCACAGCCTGTTAACCGACAGCCTCACCGTCTGAATGGAAAACTTAAAATAAGTTGACTTTATCTGACCGACATTAAGGATAAAGACAAATGCTACGGTGTCTGAATGCATGCATTCTGTGACAGGCAGCGAACTTGTCATAGCCTGCCATTAAGTCAAAGCACTGGGCTTTAGCAACACTTATTTCCAGGTAAACCACGATAATGTCACCAACATTCACGACTGACATTCAAAAATTCTTGTGCACAGACTACTCACCGTCGTAGGTGAATGTGAACCGGCTCAATGTGGTCTACTGTGTCTCTCAGAAGCTCCAGACGCCTTTTATTCTGCACTTGAAAATCCCACTCGAAGACAAAAGCTCCGGCGGTGCCTGGGCGCTGTCACCGGGCAGCATGCACGGTGCTCGGGGCCGTCACACTGACCGCTGCTGTGGTCAGTCGACAGTCATGACGGGCAGACTCTTCGTGCAATTCGCATTTGCGCTCAACACGGCGGAGATCCCGGGTCTCTGTGCTGCGCTCGACTGCTACACCACCGGAACTACTTCCCAAGCCAGCCGGAGCACGTTGAAGATAAATTCATGCACCACAATGGGAAAAATGAAATCACATCCATTTAAATAGTTCCCAATTTCCTAATGAGATTCTACCGGAACACACATACTCCCGCCATAAATACGTCAAGCAAAAAGCCTATCTATAGGCTAATGGCATAACTAATATTATGAATAATGTGACATAATTATCATACTGTTGTGTTCAGGTTTATGTATTTTGAGTAGGCTATCACCATTATCTAGACTCTAATCATTGGCACTATTAGAAGTATTTAAACATGGCAGTTATTTTTAACCGTTTCACAAGGAAAACTATAAAAAATAAATAGATAAAAAAGAACATTGTCCAAATACAATGAATTATTGTAGGCAAGGAATTGAGGCCTAGACTCAAACATAACACTAATATTATAACAGTATAGCATTAATTGGCATCATCTTGGTATTATTCTGTGCTGACACACCAACACATTGAGGTGGTGTATTATCTGTTACGGTTGAGATATAGGCCTACAGTCTATAGGGTTGAGGTATTTCTCAGTTAGGCTGCATGACTGTGATTTGAATGCATGGAGAGGCTTGATGTAAGCCATAGCACACCCACCTTGACAGGACATCAGTCAGGACACCTTGTTGCTTTAACACACAATCCTCTTTTTCAAATCTGCATATAGCACTATGTTTTATATTTTATGTATCTCATCTCATCTTCCTATTGTCATTTTGATCTTATTTAAAGTCACTTTAGGCTGGGATGAACAACTGACAACTCAGACACCCACACATATGACTTATAAAGTTAAGCTTAATGTTGTTGAAGCTCAAGATGTGTGAGAGAGATATTTGTTTGGCATTTGAACTCAAATCACACTTCTCAGGATGTATATTTCAATGTATGGATCCATACTGTTGCTGTATTATTGACCAACTGACTCTTATGGTATTTACTTTATTAAAGTTGAACATCTACTACTTACTTCTGAGAAATTCAAAAGTTCAGCAAACAAAGGTATCCTTTATAAACAGGAGCTGATGCAGTTTGCTTGTGAACAACAGCTTTGTCTGTTACAGCTCTTCATGAAGTCCTTACAGACAGCCTTTATGTTTTTGTTAGGCTATAAGTTGTTAACTATGTGAGTTAAGTGGATGTAGCTCTAGTGCTATGTATCAGCATGTTAGACATGAGAGTGGAACAAGCAAGGATGTTTGACCTTCAATGTGCAGAATGTACGTTGCCACTAGAAGGATATTGTCACATGTATCTGTTGAAGGGGGCTTATGTCTCTGCTTCACTTAAACTCTTACTTTAAAACCCATGATTTTGTGACATCACAAAAGGTTGGGAAACCATCACTCATGGTCAAGTGCATATATAGGAGTTATTGTTGAAGTATATGTAATAATAAATTGTCTATGTGTTTGTTTGTGGGCTCTTACCTTGGGAATGCTTTTCGAAAGCCCCAATCTGTTAGAGTTTGAAAATATCTTCAACTTTGTGTTATTTTCCCTCAGTCTCTCATTCTGACTGTACCTGAAAAATATTGGAGAAAAATATCTATTACTGGGGAAATATCGTCATCTATAGGCACACACTAAAAGTAGCAGGCTCTGTCTTGTGTCTGTTGTGTTAGCCATAACCCGTTCAGTCGTGTCACCTCAGCCAGGAAGCTAGCCAGCTTATGGCCTATGGAAAAAAAACAACCAGGGTTAAATGAGTGAAGCTCAGAGAGACAGAAAAGTGAAGTAGAAAATAGGTGGCAGGAGAACAAAGTGACTAGAACTAGATCAAATAAGGTAACGTAAGATAAAGGCCATGTTGTTTTTCCTAATGCTATTCCTTAAATATATCTAATATGATTGAGAAAATGTTATTATGTTGGCCTAATATTGAGTAAAGAGTATTGACAACCCTATTTATTTGGCATTGTATTGGAAACTAGATTTCCATTTAGTGCAGCCAAGATTATTATGGCATTTTGATTCAAATGTAGCGGATTTGTAATAATTTAAACATTAAACTCTCGAAATACGTTTTAAGATTAGTATTACTGTTTACCCCAAATTTTGCCCCCAATACAAAATAGTAACATCAGAACATGTTTTCGCCCAATTTTACTTTGGGCTTTTTAAGTTGCAGGAGGGAAAGTTAGTCATGCTCAAAATATGTTGTGTTTTTGTTGTCTATGTCTGCAACGTCTGGCCCTGGTTTGTATCCAAGGATTACATTTGGGAACATTTCTTTGCTTATTTTGAGTATTTTTCAATGCAGTTCATCCGTAAAAAACATCTCAAAGTAAACTTCTGAAAAGTATTCTGGTAATATAATTGATGTTCCAAACTTGTAACACCACTACATTTAGTCACACAAATGATGTCTGTGGATCATATGGATCCAGTCCCACTTTTTCAGCGTTAGGTTTACAAACAACTCAGTGCTGCACTCTTCTGGATGGTGGAGGTATTCGAATTTGGAAACATTTGTCATAAAATGAGATGATTTGCAAAACAGCAACACCTGGTGCTGGAATTTTTCTTCATAGATATTTTATTATGGCTGAATACAATTGAAAGACTATAAACAAGAAGACTGCTCAAAACAACATCCGGAACAACCACACAAAGGACGCAACATGATGTTCAACATTTCTAAAGTGATTCATAACAAGTTGATAATGTTAGCAGGGTTTTTCTCCACATGTATATTGCATTACCTTTTTCTTTTAAGGACAAACACAATAAAAAAAATAAAAAAAACTCATCTTGGAGTTTCTTTTGGGCCATGGGTTGTAATCTGTGAATCCACCACATGAGGTCTCTCTAAGCTAAGACAATATGGCCTTAACGTAGGTTATTTTGGGGGGGGGGTAAACCCTTCTCTGAGTTTTACCTTGTATTAATAAAATGTCTTTATAACCACATAAAAACATGTTTTTCTGTTAAATGATTTAACTATCTTTCATGTCTCGTCTTTGAAAATGCAACCATATGTGACCTCACAGCTAATTAAGAGGAAATGTCTTTTCACCTCATGATGAGAAAATGTGACTGATGTTACTTATTACTTTTCACACTTCATCTCAACTTTAACAGTCATGCCAGAGTCATGTATTTTGCTTGTAGGCTGCTAAATGGTCGCATCTGTTCATCTGGAAACAAAATGCAAAATGTTAAAGATTTCAACATGACAATAAGAGGAGAGGTTGGTCTTGAAGCAGACCTTTAAGAGGGAGGTTTAAAAAGTGGTGCTTTGGCCTTTTGGAATTATTCTGAGGCAAGACTGGCTGTCGGTTTTGGACCTGTTTATTCTAACTAGGGTATTGTCATGTCAATATGGACTATGTGTAGGCTACTGAAATTTAATTTTTTATTTTAATGAAAATGTTGTATAACTAACTTGCTGTTTGTTATGCACACATGGGGTTTGATATTTTATTATTTATCAGGTTTATCTTCATGCACCCCCTAAAGCCACTGTATATTTTTGTATATTTTGTCTGGATACTAGTTTTCAGCAGAGCAGTCATCACTTGAAAAGATAATCTAGAAGAGTGCCAGTGTTATGCTATTTGAACCATTTGGATGGGACATTTTAGTTGTATCTGGGGGATAATGAAGTTAAGGTTTTAGAACTACAATTCACATAATGCTTTGGGGGATATAAACAGGAAATATAATGTCACAATGGTGTAAGTTAGCAAACCGAGCAACCTGTGTGCATTTAGCCTATACATTAACTTTAGCTACATTTTAACTAAGCACCACTGAAAGTATGCCAAATGAATTATTTGCAGTTTCTGTTTGCAAACTGGGCACACACCACTCTGTAGGCTAAACACATCAAACTATCACTGGAGTACTTTAACACAGCAACAAACTTAAAAACGTGACTCCAGAGTTTAAAGAGCGTAATTTTTCGGACATCGGAATCGGAAAATAGGTGTATGTGTGTTTAGATAGGAATGAGATAACCCTCCACATCCATGGTTAACCCCCACCCACAATGCTGGCGCAGGGACAGAGAGAGGAAGTGGGTCACTCGCAAACATTTCGCACCAATATCACATGGGAGTGTTTTCCCTCTCCTCCGCAGACACAGTGTTCCCTGGATGGCAGTGCTAAACCCGTAGCCTCTGCGGAAATACAAGTCATTGGTAGAATAAACGCCTCTCAGACATCAGTGCAGAGCAGAAGAAAGAAAAAAGGAAGATGGATAGTGTCTTTCGTTTGTGATGACCTTGTTTAATTTCCTGCCACTTCGGCATGGAGACAGCGCTGTCGGTTTTCGCCAAACCTCCTCGCACCGTCTGGTCTGAACCGGTTCGGGATGTGCGCGGTCTCGTGCTCACTGCAGACTCCACGCACGCACTGATTCGCGCAGCAGTCCGCGCCCTCTTCACGCTCCGTGCAGAAACGCTCTCATTGGTCAGGATGTGCACGACCCACCCACATCTCCCGCGTGCTGTTTGGACGACGAGTGAGTTCCCCAGTTGTGATTGGTCGATGCCCCTCCAAAACTTTTATTTTGGGGCAAGCCCCGTTTATTGTGCACGGGCACGCGGAGAAATGGAGTTGTAAACGAAGCTCGTGCACGTTTCAGCACCAAAAACTCGTGGACAGCAGCCAACGGAGGAGAAGGGGGTGACGCTGAGGGTTAGCTTATTGTGATAAACACAAGACCGAGCGGTTTGCGACGCCACACTGCCGCTGCGATCGCGGGAAACCTTCACCGGTGGCACTGAGTCGGGGAGGGACGACACACAGCGGCACAGCCTGTGCTTTGTTCGCCCCGGCGGGCAGATCGTGCCGCGAGCTGGATATCGGTTAGAGACACGTTTCAGCGGGTGAACACACCGTTTTTCTCGGTTCGCTCGTGTCGAATTTTTCGCGGTCTGGAGCCCACTAACTGCACCCCGGGAAGACCTAACGCCTGCAGATGAGGGGAAACAAAGGTGATAACGACTGTTATTCATCGGTCCGCGCGACGGTTGAGCCGGGGTCCTGTTTTTAGCCACATAGCAACTTGCTCGTGCTGCTAGCCTCTCCATTGTGTGAGCAGCTCTGCCGCCAGACCCCCGAGTCACTCTCTGCCGCCACACACCTGCTATAACTGTGTGTTCTCCGCCGGATTTTTTACTTTTTTGAATCCACCCATCCAAAATGTGCTCTCGGATTTGGTTCGTGACCGACCGGCGGATCAGCCAGGAGTACCCGCAGGTCCAGATCCTCCGGGCGCTCAAGGAGCGCTGCTCCGACGAGGATGTTGAATTCCGCTCGCTGCTCATGGATGAAATCGTGCTAACGATCAGCGATGGACAATTAGGCAAGTATCTCACACTTACTCAACGCAGTGGATGTGTGTAATTAATTCAGATGTACACAAAGTCAGTGGCATGCGGGTATTGTTTGGGTAGCTCGCTGCTGTGAGGCGGGGAGAGGGCTAGCCCGGTCTGCCTGCTAGCAAGGAAGCGGATGGTAACCACAGACGTGACCGCCTAACCCACTTTCCAGCTAGACTGCCTCCAGAGGGGAGCGATGATGCTTGATATGAATTTCGCTGAATACGGTACAATCCCAACAATGACGTCGATTATTTACTTAAGCATCAACGCACTGGGGATATTCATATTACAGAAGCATAGTAGCTGAAACAATACGATGAGTATTTTACGTGTTAAAGTGGGGTTTTTATATGGTAACCTGGCGCCAGGCCGAAGAAGCCACACATGTTTCACATAACGTTACAGAAAAGGCCGCCAGTAGACCAGTCTGGTGATTACTTTAATGTTCTCTTTATTGATTAAAGGTTATGAACAATACTACACCAGATGTAACCAGCACCAAAAAGCCTATTTTAGAATGTATTCTTATATGAAACAAAAGCCCCCCTAAAACGTATTCAGAATAAACAAATGAAACAAGTAAGCACATATTGCATCTGTAGAGCCATAATCTGTACCTGTTTCTTGCTATTTATTGATTAATTACTTGTTTTGATCTGATTTGTATTGTTATTTGTAGCAAAGAGATGTAGACTAACAATCAACAACACAGGACTGAATACAACAAAACACGGTATGAATGCTAGAGTATAAGGCCTAGTAGGAATACTATGACAGATCCACAGAAAGCACACTTGTGTATAAAGACAAATGAACTTCAGCTCACTCTTTCATATTTTCTGTTTTGTTTTACTTTATCTATGCTACTAACATCATGATGTAATTTGTGTTGTCATTTTGGCATTGCTATGTCCAGAAGACATAATGTGTGTTCTACTTATTATGAGATGACAATGTTTCTCAGTATGGACTCAGGGGGGCTTGATAATGTGGTGGTAACAGTAGGAACTCTCAACAAACAGACACACATTGAATTTATCAGGGCAGTGTGAAGTGGGGCCGGTGTCACCAGATGAGAGGCGTGCAGGTTGCAATTAACACATAAACGGTGTAGGCTGCCACTGGCAGAGGCTGAATAGTTGGGAGAGCATGTGGGATGGATAGGGGTGAGATTGAGCAGCACGTCCCTCACAGACTGTTACATCAGGTCAACTGTACAGACCAGTCATGGTAGAGCTTTGAACTCAACATGGGTTTAACTGAAATGCCAACAATGGAGTATTTAAGGTGTTTTAACAAACTGCTTGTCTGTCACATACACTAGTAAGGCCAAAGGACTATTTATGAACATAAACAAATCCTAGAGGTGCTATTTGTGTCATTCATACAAAATATCTACCAAATGATAATTCAATGCAGTTGTTGTTACCATGGCTAGATAATCTTATTTTAAGACGAGGCTACTCTGTAATAAAAAATGCTAAACATTTTCTAGGAAATATACTGAAATTAGACAATATTAGCCAACACAGACAGATAGGAAGCAGGCTGTCTAGATCTTTAGCTTAGCATGCAAGTCTAGAAGGGCAGTTAGCAGGGTCTGTAATCCATGCTGGACCCTAGTCTGCATGCATCTTCTGAGCCTTGGCTTGACACCACAGATTACCAGCCAGTAGGCAGATTAGACACAACCTTCCGATCTTTAGCCCACTTTACTATCCATTAGACCACCACTATCCTCACTAGATTAGTGAGTGTTTACAACGTTTCTACACTAGAAACATAAGTGATTGTGATTGGAAAAAGCACTTCAGGTGAATCACCAACTCTTTAAGTGGTAATAGTTATTTACCAACACGGTTCTTTGTCTTTAGTGCATTTATATTTGAATAAAACTATACATTTGACTCAAGAAATATGTATCAATACAGGGCAATTCAAGGTTAAGAATGATATGCTACCATAACTGGTTCAAACATGCCTTTAGACAACCTCAACCAACTAAAGCTGAGGTGTTGCACATGAGTATTTGCTTTAGGATAGGGTAGGTCAGAATGCAATCCTAAAACTGATAGGCTAACACCTTTACTGCTTGCTATTTCAAATTGCTCTGCATTCTCAAATCAGGTTGAGGTCCAGGTTTCACACTGAAGTTAATGGGTTCAATGTGTCCCTATGGGGGAGAGATGAGTACACACACACACACACACACACACACACACACACACACACACACACACACACACACACACACACACACACACACACACACACACACATGTTTTAATGACCAATGATGGCCCCTCACATAAGACAGCCAAACCCAGCATTCAGCTCGCTAGTGGCATTTCACATCCCATGATTTGCACTGAGGGGTGTTTAAACAGAGACCGGATATGAACGCCTGTCGCAATGCTTTGTGATTCCTGCACATGCCAGTGGGCACACTTATACCCAGAAGATGATAAATGCAACGCTCCTGTGTCAGTAAATTAGAAGGTGGAGCACTAAGGAAGACTCAGAATCTTAATTTACCTCCAGACATGTGAGTGTGTATCAGCAATATTACATGCAGTTGAGAAACTGTAGCTCTAATGTCAATACTTGTTTGGTTATTACTTATTTATGTAGCACAGATCCCCTTTGCTGAGAAATGAGCTATATGATGATCAGCAGTATGGCAAGGCTGTTTACCTGATTTACATTCACAAGCTGTTGTGCGTTATTTAGGTGGTTAAAAAACTGAGTTCATGCCATAAATTAGGGAGATTTGATAGGCCTTTATCATAGTAATAACCTGAAACCCACTTTAAATTCAAAGTTATATTATACAAATGTTTACCTTACAAATACATTTTTATTATAATAAGAGATAATAATTGGGCATGTCCTTTGCTCATGTTACACCCCCAGAGGAAAAGAGCTTGCTCATGAAATGGCAAGCAGTATCTCATTTGCAGGTTCTGACGTGCAGACCACAAATATTTGCATTTTATTGGTATCGCCAAGAGGCTCACAGTACCTGCTTTTTCCTCTAGATAGAAAGAAGAATATATGAAGGGAGCTCACATTCTAGTGACGGCAACACTGACTGGCAAACACTGGGCTTTTTTTTGTTTAATGTTATTGTTCTTCCTGAAAATACTATTCCTATAATCCAGAGGATTAAAGGGCCTGTGGTTTGGGTGTTTCGTCATATAGCCAGGGGTGTCTCATTTGGTTCTCACAGTACTTGATTTCTTCTCTATATAGGAAGAAAGAAATGATATACAGTGTTTCCCACAGAATTTGATTCCCCCCCCCCCCCCCCCCCCCCCCCCCTGGCAAGAAAAGCCAAAGGTCCCTTAACCTATTCGGGTGGCCCACACATCCACCCCCCCCCCCCCCCCCCCCCCTCAAATAAGAAAATACATGCGAGTTCATGGCTACTGTAGACAACGTTCTTGTTGCTCTGTGTTGCGTTGTTAATGAGTGAGACACACCGGAGTTGAGGATCATAGGGTTTATTCTCCCAAAAATATAATTTACAATTTACAATTTAGGCATTTAGCAGACGCCTTATACCAAAGCAATTTACAATGACCAATTACAGGGACATTCTCCCTGGAGTAACTGAGGGCTAAGTGCCTTACTCAAGGGCACACTAGTAGTGGTGTTCCAGGCGGGATTTGAACTCGCAACCTTCCGATCATCAGCCCACCTCACTATCCATTAGACCACCAAAATAAAGTATAAATAATAAAACGATTATTATTTTTATTTCTTTTTATGAGATCCATTTGTGGCGGACGATATTTAATTGTGGCGGACCGCCACAAATAAATCAATGTATGGCAAACACTGATATATGAAGGAAGCTCATAATTCAAGTGAGGACAATACTGATTGGTAAAACCTGAACATATTGACTGTCTTCATTAACTGTTAGTGAAGTTAGATTTGCATTAAAATCGTTCTTGTGCCAGAGTCCAGTTAACATCCCAAGCTGCTGCTCCAGACCCTTTCGGCATGCACCCACTGATCTGAAAACCAGTCAGAGCAGCTGCTCATCAACAACATTTGTGTTGTAACTGTAGGCAACTGAAGCAACTACTGTGCTTGTTTTTATATTATTCTGGCATGTCACAGAGATGTTGATTTATGACTAAACAAGAGAGCATGTGGAAAGCAAAGAACCTTGCACAACACAAATCTAATCCATAAATCGGTCATTATTAGCAGATGAACAACACAAACCTACTAAAAGGATCCATCACTAATAACTGTTGTGAATTTGTGAATGTCAAGCCTTACTTTTTATATATGGTCATACTAATCATACTTGACTTTGTAATTTGCATAGTTGCCGTAGCCAAAGATAGCAGTGTCTGCATATGGACTCTTAAAAACGTCTAACTTCACACTTTCTGATGCGAAATGATGTTTCAAAATGTGGTGAAAATAAGCTGAAGGTTATCACAAACACACAGTTAATATTTGAAGAATCAGGATCTTCTGCATGCAAATGGCCTAAATGGCACCCCACTATCTGACAGCAGGCATCATGCCAAAAAGATTTCCTATATATTTATACTAGTCACTCTGGCAGTCAAGCATCATTTGGAAAACACATCAGTTAAAATGGCCTTGTTGAATGTTTTTTTTTCAAACCAGTTGCTGTGGCTAGGGGATACAAAATATTTCCTACACATGATTATGGCAAAAATACAAAAATAGCCATTGGGTAAGGCTTGGCGAGAGAGTGTACGGACTCACTCAGTCACCTCACCCAAGCACTTACTCCATTCCACAGAGCAAAACATTATTTTATTAAGCGTTGGTAGCAATTTACTCTATTGTATGCTTATAGATTAATATTTTACGATATACAAATATGTTAGAGTCGAGTTACTTGTAATATTGATTCAGGCAATTATGCATGTGTTCCGAATTGAAGTGCATGATGCTGTAAAGTGTGATATCAAAGAAAGCTGGTATCTTCAAAAACATGCATTCAGAGCTTTTATCAGTACATAATTGTGTTTCCATCATATGGCCAAACCAGAAGTATGAAAGATGATCATTTAAATTACAGTCAATGTTATTTAATGAGAACATTCTTCAGTGGCAGTTTAATGTGTTTTGTTGATCTCTGTTTGTATGCTATTCTGACAGATATTTTTTTGTCTAATGATAGTTGAGGTACTGTGAATGCTAAATTAAAGTATGCTAACTATCGGCTAAACAGTACACAGGCTAACTAACAGATGATGTCCAGGATAACAGGGCCTCTGTGTTTGATTATCAAAAGATCTTTTAGCTTGGACTCACAGTAGGACTACAGTACATGTTTTTGCCTGACGAGGTTAGTGCAAATTGACCATTAAAGGCATTATTCGCAAAACCCTATCAAACCAGAAAAACCATGGGTGAACCTGCTGCCCCATCAGGCTAATTTAGACAGTATCCCCAGACACAGACTGCATTCAGGGCACCAGTCAAACATTGGCACTAGAGATGTCCCGATCCGATCGGGGATCTGGAATTTTTTATTTTATTTAATGTCACAAAACAAAAATGACCATGTTCACGTCTTAAAGTCATCCTGAGGCCTTAGTTTTGGTTTAAAATTACACAACATCATGTATGTGTTGCTTCTTTTGGGCTTGTTTTCATAGACCTGGTTGCTTATTTCTCTCTGGCAACAGAGTGGGCAGGGCGCAGTGTCTAATAGTAGCAGTAAGCTAACAAGAGGCTACGTTCAGCTGGTGCCTCGGGAGTCGGGACAGAGAAAATGTCAGGAGTTTGGAAGTATTATAAAATTGAAAGCGAAGGCAGTGTAACAGCCAGATGCAATGTTTTGCAAGGCGGAGGTTCCGCGTGGTGGAAAGAACAGAGCTACGTTCAACATGACCAATCTAATACAAACACCAACAACAACACGACGAGTACACAGCGGCCACTCAGGTAACGGCACTGAAACAACCGACACTTTCAGAGACTTTTAAAAGGAAAGAGAAACTGCCCCAGAACAGTGAAAGGCCAAAAAAATAACAGCCAAGATAGCTGAATTCATCGCGTTAGATGACCAGCCGTTATCTGTTACCTTTTTTTTCTCTTAATGCATTGCATAAAGATCGGATCGGGAAAAATCGGTATCGGCAGATTGTCAAAATCAAATGATCGGGATCGGATCGGGAGCAAAAAAAAGGTGATCGGGACATCCCTAATTGGCACCGCGTTTGTCGGCATTGCCTGCTTTGTGACGTTGCAACGGTATGCATAGAATGCTAGTGCTTGTTTGCTTGTCTGGCATATTTAAAATAGGATGCCCATATACAGTCCATTGAACATTATTATTGTCTGTTTTAGAAGTGAAGAAAACATTGTAACTACAAACGGGTCACACCCACACCAAGTGTAGACACTAAAAAGCCCATGTTGCTTTTGTTATAGAGCAAAATGGTCAGAAGGGGGTCTGAATGTTTTCGCACTGGTCACATGACGTACAGTGCACACGAACACTTGCTCAAATGAATAGGACTGATTCATCTGGCTGCCTCATTGCTCTCTGTTTTGGTTCCCCTGGAGATGGAGACGAGCACCATGAACAGTGAATACTGTCTGTCAAAAAGCATGAGACCACATCCCCTGGCACTTCCCACTGTAATACCATTCTCAGTGCTCTCAGTGACTGCACAATCAGAGCAGTGTGGCTACAGAGACCGTCAATTCTCCTGCTTCTGTACTGAGATTGTGAGAAGGAAGAGGAGGAGTAAAAAGCGAGGGTTGGCAGTCTTTTCATGGCTCCATACTTATTTTTTCATTTGCCCCTCCCTTCCCCTCCTTCCTCTGTGGTGAGTCTGGAAGACATCCCTGACCTATTCTGCCTCTCTTTTGTTCCTGTCTCTACCTGTCTGTGCACAGAAAGAGCTAAAAAGCGAACGTTGGCCACACCCAAAGTGTAATCATTAGGGCTGTGCAATTAATCGTATTTTAATCGCAATTACGATTTTGGCCTGCCACAATTACGAAAACAACATAATCGAAAAAAAAACAATTATTTTGCTTTGCTAGGTCTGTGACAGTGCACTGCAACATATTTGATCTAATTAATTTTGGTCTAATTTATTTTTTATTTATCACATTTATATATGTTTAGTAGCTTGTGGAAGTGTGCTCCAAAATATTTGTTGATCTTGTTTATTGGTATTTATTATTTTTACATTATTTATTTAAATGTAAATATTTCATTTATTTTTGTATTGGTTTTTCAGTTGAATTACACATTCAGGGTAATCAACAGTTAAAAAGATACTGTTCAAATTATTATTTTTATTTGTTTTAAAGTTCAATAAATGGAAGTCAATGAATAATCGTATTAATAATCGTGATATCAATTATTGAACAAAATAATCGTGATTATGATTTTTGCCATAATCGCACAGCCCTAGTATACATGTTATGTTGGCATGATGTACAGTGCATCTGCCGACACATCTAGCTGTCTGTTCTTATTACTAATCAACCGCTGAGCTTGTGGTGACCTGTGATGATCTCAGCCAGAGGTGCTGTCACTATTGTTAGCTTGCAGATTCTAAAATGGCTGAAAATCAGGTCACAGAAGAGGTGAAGTGCTGTGCAAGTGACAAGTGCGTCTCCTCCCGTCCCCCTGTACAATACACTTTAAAAATACGTGCATATCCTCACAAACACACAGGTTTCGTTGTCACCCAATCTGTTTCTTCCCGATGAGCTGATGGGTCGCGTTGCCTGCTAAAAAATCTCACAGTCTGTCTCCGTTTCCTTTCTCATCCATGGTGGAAAGAGTAACACATTCACAAGGGAAATGCTGCCAATCTATAGCTTATGGCAATGGCTGGTGAGTTTGCCATCTGTGTTTGGCAATTATCAAGCCAATATTCAGTTTAAAATCTTGTTCTGATCTGCAGATTAAGATGGCTGTTGATGCAGACTGGGGCAATGCTAGTACATGTTGAAATGTAGCTGATCTTTAGCCTTGTAGTAGAGTGCCATTCTACCATACAGGCTTCTTTTTCAAGTCTCCCCTGTTTCAATGGCTTATACATGCTGTGCTGAATTGAAATGGCTGATCAGTGACCTATTCAGATGTGCTCTGTTAGCCTGTTGTATTCACTTTGCTCACATTTGCAATAATAAAGTGGCCACAGGGCTGAGGACATTGAAAACCAATGTCATTTTAACTTTCAATGAAACAAAACACTATTATTTTTAGATAATAGTCACCAAAAGACAATGATGTTGCATTGTGACAGGATACAAAACAAGATTACCATAACATATCAGGTTACCACCCTGATGTGTTTTGCTGTGTGATTAACATCAAGACCCTTGGGGTTCAAAGCATCTCTCCCTAACCCACTGCCCTACATAGACAAACAGTCAACAGTGTCAGTACAGAAACAAGGATATCTCTTTTTCCAGTCAAAGAACATTGGCCAAAAAGGTAGTGGAGCTGGCAGTGCTGTACATTGACTTTGCCTGCAGCATGCAAATAATTGTATCAGCTGGCAATGTTTTGTAAGTCATAATTTAACACAATCATCCTTGGAAGTGGATGCCTCTTTCTAGTCCCTACTCTGCCAACTCTCAGTCAGATATGTGTGTTCTGTGGGAGGATCGGAGCATAGTCCACAAATAGTCTCCATAAGGAGATGAGTTCACTTTTCCAGCAGGAGTTGGTGTTTTCTAAATCCCAGCAAACCCATTTCACAATGTTCCCAGCTCCTGTAAACATGACCTTAAGGATATAATGGAAGCTATAAAACTATGACATGTTGCTTTTTAACGTGGCTGTGGGTCCTTGAGTGCAAGAAAAACAATATTGATGTGAGAAAGTTTTCTTTATTAGTGGCTCGGAATTGTATTGCTCTTTTAGTGCTCTAAAAAGGTTGTTTTGGTTGGTCCGAAAAAAACGTTTAAAAGATACTGTCTGGTTTGTACTTCTTGTCAGTGTTTTAAGCTGTTTTGCTTATTCTTTTCAAACAAAAGATCCATCTTCTTGATCTTGTCATTCAGCATGGACACTTGTAATCTAAGTGCTATTCATATCCTCAGAGGAAACTACTCTGAATAACTCACTATATTTATCAGGATCTAAGTGTTTTTTGTTATTTCTAGCTCACAAATTTGAATTTTTGTTTCACTATAGTAATCTTTCTTCTACCCCCTCCTGCCTCTAGGTCTGCGAGTGGAGCAGGAAACTAGTGACATCTTATCCACAGGTGGTGGTGGTGCGGGTGGCCCACGCCCTGGGTGCAGTCAGATAGTGACATCACCGTGCTGCGCCACCTGGAGAAGATGGGCTGTCGGCTGCGATCAACCGGTCCCCAGGCTATACTTACTGTGTCAACAAGTTCTGGACCTTTCAGGAGCTAGCCGGCCACGGAGTGCCTCTTCCTGACACCTTCTCTTACGGTAAATCAATAGTTGTCATCTTTTGTTCACAGTGTTGGTGTGTTGTGGTAGCACTGTGCTGTTGTAACCAAGTCTCTGTTCAGACCTGGCTTTGACATGCGTCTTTGTTGATCCAAACACGAGTGGTCATCTCTAAGTAAATTAGTTCACAGCTGGTATTGGAAAGTATCTTGAGAGGCATCATTTTCGTTTTCATATATCAACAAAACACATTTTTCAATGAAAAAAACGTTTTGTTATTAGTTTTCTGTGTGTGTATACATTTCAGTTCTCACACTCACCTAAATTACATGCATTGACAATACAAAAACCTGCAATGACTAATTAAAAAGCACCACAACAGTCTTTGTCTGCCTATTGGTGCGCTGTTCTCCACCCAACAGCGGTACCGAGACGCACAAAGCTCCAGAGAGCCGAGGATAAGAGCAGGTGGTCGGTCCTCAGATCTGTGCAGAGCACCGGAAACAAAACACTGACAGTATGATAAACAACATCCAAACACAACACTCACTCTTGGTGGTTTCTGTGACATGAGAACGTTCAAAATACTAATGTTTAATACAGAAACGGCTTTGAATACACCAAGCTATCCATAGCAAAGACCTTATTGGTTCAAAGCCAGTGACTGATCACTTACTCTGCATTAAGCAGAGGATATTGGTTGATTAGACAGTTCTTTAATGTGGCCCCATGATGGCATTACTGCACCCACAAAAAAAAAGAAAAGTCCACAGGTGGCGCAGACCACCTCTGGATGTGTCCTGAGCAATCAGATCTCCATTCACAGCATTCACATGTGTTGTTATAGGTCACCAGAGAAGAAGGGTCATGGTATGAGCAGTGACTGATATATCTGAGGGCAGTAAGTACAAATAAGAATGTACTCTATACGCCTCCTTTGGGATATTAATTTTTTAAATGTAATTTTACCTAATTAACAAAAACACACAAACATCAATTTGAAGTGATAGTCAGGATGATGGGTCTTAGCAGGATAGGTTTGGTACCTTTGCTCTAGGGGCACATCAGGAAGGCCCGTGGGGTTAAAACTGCCACCTCTTCAGCTTCCAGTCCACACTCTGTATTTGGACTTGATCCGGCTACCCTCCTGTAACCAAGCCACGTCCCTGTGGACAGCATCACTGCAGTCAGTTACTGAATGTGGACGCATCTAGCTTCATTAATGCTTCCACTTCCAAGAGTCCACACTGCATTTTACCTGATGTAGGGCCCTTGGTGTTCAGTGCTTTAGAATGCAGACTGTTATTGCCCTAGCAGAGTACATACAGTGTTGAATATTCTGCAGATGAATTCATTATGAAATGTATCACTAGTTGTTGTTATAATATACAAATAGATATTCTCTGTTAGTACCGATAAACAAGTTCTAAGGTAATATACTGCATCGTCCTTAATGAAATGGATATGAGCATAAACAGCAGCACTGCTGTGTCACGTATGTAATCACATTAGTTGCATCACAGGCTTTAGTCCACATGGTGTCTGTATAAAAGGATTAATAAACCATCAGTAGGCTCATTATTCTGCTGCAATGACTCAAACACAGAGAGAAGATTACATTTACATATCTGGTCAAACCATTATAGCCACTAAACCACACTGATCATTTCACAGTTTCTCTGACACAACCTACTGTTGCTAAAGACATGAAGGGAGGCAACATGAGCCAGACTGCTGTTTTCATTTGTTGTAGTTTCTGCTTTCCAAAAATCCCCAGTGCTGTGGTGTTTGTGAGAGCAGACAGAGAAGGATACAGACAGAAACAGAAGGAGGGGGTGTTTGGCCTACATTCCATTCGTCTCTGCACAGTGGGCCAGGCGATGCATGCAGGCGGCTGGAGAGCCTATGTTACCCCCCCCCCCCTCTAATCGCCCCACCCCTTGGTTTTTCAAAATAAAAGATGCCTTCGCCTCCCTCCTGCTACCCTCTGCAGCCTGTGACGTGGCTGTTCCCACATTTGCTATCCACTCCCTCCGTTTCCTCTGCTGTTTCTTCCCGCTCACTGAAAAACACATGTGAATCAGCGCATGGGGAAACAGCCGTGTGTCAGAGCAGTTCACATCTGTTCCGTTGACCGAATGCCAGATAAGAACAGACAGGCAAACAATGATCGAGAGAGGGAGAGAGGAGTGGAAATGGATTCTGACACATTTTTCAATCATTTCTTGAGCCGAAGTAGAGAAAGCTGGATCACATCTGCTTGCTGCAAAGCTGCCTCTCTCGGTCACCGTGAGATATGGTCAGCTGCTTCACATTAATGCATCCCTCTGTGACCGCTTTGTTCCAATCTCATGAATCAAGCAGCAAAATAAGTATAAGCTCAGGACAGCACTCCTACAGCCTTGCTTTATTGAGTCACTTCTGTTGCTATAGCGACAGGCTACATTCCCTCCCCCCACCCTGTTCAGATGGCGGTAATGTGTGAACCATGCTATCAAAACAAGAGCTTTTTTTATATATATATTGTACCCCTCTGATTGGCTTCATGTTTCTGTGTTTGTGTGCATGGGCATTTACCAGGAGGGCCATGACAACTTCCGAAAAATGATTGACGAGGCAGAGCCACTCGGCTACCCCCGTGGTGGTGAAGAATGCACGGGGCCACAGAGGGTAAGAGCGTCAGTCTGTTTCTCCCTGTCACCAGCTCGGTTCAACACACCTCACCCCAAAAATCAGTACGCAGCTACTGGCAGCTCAGTCCACTCTGACATGAAATTCATTGTCAGAGTGTTAAATGATTTAGGACTGTGGTGCTGCAACAACCCAAAAGAAGCATGTCGTTGTAATGCTTGCTTCATGGCTGCTGGGTTAATCATCTCTGTTTCTGCTAAATTGGCCGTAGTTTTCTCATTCTGAATGAACTCACAAGGGGCTTGTGGAACATTTGAGCTTTCCCCAATAATGTTGGAGATGAGCCCCAGTGTCTGCTGACCCATTAGCCTTTCCCTATTCAAATTATTGACACTTGGCTAGCGTGCCAAGGAATAACAATGCACCATGGATAGCCCAGGCTGCCGGCACAAGGCATTGATGGGGAATGCAGCCGTTGGTCAACATCTAACTTTGAACCTTTTTATGGGGGTCTTCTCTCAAGGGTTGCTTTCCTCCCCTCAGTGTTAACCTTTGTCATTGGCCGAAGTCCAATTCCTTCTCTTGAGCAAATACAAGGCCTGTTTAAAAATATTTGAAGGGTTGTTTAAAATCTTAACAACCATTGTTTTTAAAGGGTCAACGCTAGATGCCAAATTGAAATGTTCTTGCTGGTCAATTATTTTGAAAGTACTTCAAAATCTAGTGTGTGCATTTGTGGGCATCTCCGCATGTTTAATACCATCGATACAAAGTAGTCATGTGTCTCACTGAGCCCTGAACAATGACTCGTGTTTTTTCTAAGCGTGCTAGCTTGACAATGTCCTTCTTCACATCTTCATGATGTTACCCAGGGATTGCTTTGTCATCTTATTTGGATCGTCACCTACACACAATGTACAAAAGCACAGCAATCACAAGATTTCCCCCAGTGCCGGATGAGGGCTTGACAACAAGGAGACGAGGCCAAGTGGTACTAATTAAAACGGGCATTCTCTATCCTATGTGAGAAGCAATTATGTGGCCGCTAAGAGGAGTGTCCCATCCATTATACAAAACACAGGAACTGGCAACAGGCTTAGTCAGCAGATGCTTCTAATTGTCAGCAGAATCGAAGACCATGCCACTTATTTTCATGTTAAAAATCGACATTATAACACACATCTCAGACCCTGCAAGCATGCAAATATCTTTGTTATCCTGAAAGTAACTCATATTGATTTTTCTTCCTTCATCTTTTGTCTCTTCCTAGGCAAAGCTGTGTTCCTGGCCCGGGACAAACACCACCTGACAGACCTGTGCCACTTGATCCGCCACGACACCCCCTACTTGTTTCAGGAGTATGTCAAAGAGTCGCATGGCCGTGACGTCCGGGTGGTCCTGGTGGGCGGCCGTGTCATCGGCTCGATGCTACGCTGCTCCACGGACGGTCGCATGCAGAGCAACTGCTCTCTGGGTACGCAAACGCCTCCGAGAGCCAATGATGACACACTGAATTACTAAACTATTGAGCACTGTCACACACTAATTACATTACTGAGCTCGCCCCCCCCCCCCCTTCCCCTCATTACAGTTACCAGCACTGCCACATTGGAACATTTTTTTATTTCGTTTTTTTTACTCTAACATTTTGAAGATATCCTTTATGATCCCAAATTGGGAAATGTTTTTCACAGCAGCATGTTAAAACAAGGCATTGCACATCATTTGATAAATATAAAGAGTAAAAAATAAACCAACATAGAATATAAGCATCTCAAAATAGAAAATAAAACTGAACTAAAAAGTAAAATAAATACTCTTTCTACTGTGAAAAGACAACATCAGTAGACTACCTGTCAACTAAACACTATTAAGGGCCAAATAACAGCTAACACATTTTAAAAGTAGGATATTATTAACAATAAGTGTGCAAGGAATAGCATATTAAATAAATATAAATGTGAAATATACAGTGTTAAAAAAAGTCCAGTTATAAGTAAAGACAGGCTTTAATTATTTCAAAAAAGAGCCGTGTGCCACATTTAAGGTGTCATGGCTGCTCTTATCATTCCTGTGTATGCGGGTAATATTTAACGGTCATAGCATTTTTGAAATTGTTTATCGAGAATAACGGTCCATCTGCTATATAAACCAGTTTTTTGGAATCGTGGCCAAGTCAACAAGCTTGTCCCGGAATGTGCCCTGCAGACATCGAGTGAGACAGCATTCCAGCTGATGAGACTGATTTTGCGTGACAGAGTATGAGCAGTGCTGCTGGTGTAGGCTGCTTATTGGCTGTGACATATTTAGGACGCTAGTAAGCAGGTTGTTCTGCGTTTATGAAACATATCGTGTTGACAATTGCACTCACTGGTGTTGTATTTATATATGTATCAGAGTTCTCACATATTTCCATGGACAAAATGTCACATATTTCCCATGACCTTTCAAGGACACTACAAAATGTCCATGGTGAAGTAAACAAACAGAACTGTGACTCCAGTTGGAACAGCAACCTTTTCAATATCTTATAGGTGTTTTATGCCCATATTAACTTCATATACTACGTCAATACTTCAAACTAAAGGCACAGTGCATAAATAGTTCTGTGTTTACATCACTTATCAGTCTTCACTGGCTTTTAAGCATGAGGGGAAACAGAACCCACTGTACGATCAGTGTATTCAAATGCATTTGATAATAGACTCATTTCTGGATGCAAGTCTAACAATAAACATTGCAGCAACATCATTATGTAGCTCTTCACAATCTAATTTGCTTTAGTGTCGCATTAGGTGGGAGGTTATCCCCTAAAGATTACTCTAAAAGTTTGTTTTCATTAAACAAAACATATTTGCTTTTTATCACTTTCATTACTTTTCCTGGCCTAGAACATATTTCTTAAATCCTCCGCAAACACTGCATGATAGCTCTGTTTGATAGTAGATGATTCGTGACAGTCCTGGAGGTTGAAATGAATGAACCTGGTTGTTGTGGGTATTAACCAGCAGCGATGTCTCGGTCTGGACTGTTAGGGGGGTGTCCTGTATGATGTGCCCCACTGAGCGAGCAGGGGAAGCAAGCTGGCCATCGAATGTCCAACATCCTCGGCATGGACGTGTGCGGCATCGACCTGCTGCAGATGAACGACGGCTCCTTTGTGGTCTGCGAAGCGAACGCAAACGTTGGGCTTCATTGCCTTCGACCAGGCATGCGGCATGAGGACGTGGCGGGCATCGTCGCCGACTACGCCCTGTCGTTGCTCCACAGCCGACTCACCGTAAATGTCCCTGCTGTCCGTGGTGTCGAAACACCAGCGAGACCAGCAGCGAGCCCGGGTGGCCCCGTGCCCACCGGGGGCGGGGGCTCGCTGCCCGAGGCCGTCTGCAACATGTCCGTGGGTTCTACCTCCAGCGAGAGTGACCCCGAGCTGGCGGAGCCCTCCCAGTCCTCGCCCCGCCAGTCCACAGCCCCCCCCCTGCCCGACCTCCCCGATCCAGCCTACAACTTCAACACTCTTCTCGCCAATGAGATCAAATTATTGACTGAGTAAGATCCAAGCAGCTTCATGCACACACACAAACACGACAAATGCATATGAAGAATGAGCACACACACACACACACACACACACACACACACACACACACACACACACACACACCTGTACGCATGGCAACTGACATTCCTTTTGTAAACACATATCAATCCAAAAACCCTTCAAACACGTTGTTTAATGCAAAACATGAGCGGTGAAAACACATTCAAACACAACCACGGGAATACAAACACCAAAACATGAGCCTTATCCTACCAACTCCCTTAAAAAAAAAAGATTTCAAAAAAAAAGATCTGAGGCTGCTCCCCTGACTCCGCGCTCTCCAAAACGGTAAACCCCAATTTACCCCAAACTTAGCTTACACTGCAGGCATGGTGGCGGGAGTGGGATATAGTGCATACGTTTACTAGTTTCAATTAGCAAAAATACTGAGGGTGAAGGTGGTGTGTTTCTTGGGGTGGGCGTGGGATTCCAATAAAGGCATGCACCTGTCATATTGTTTCCTTACTACACCGTATTATTTAAAGGAGAGTCTATGGTATGTTGTCATAAAAGAGGGGTTTCCTGCTGAGACTGTAGTACGGTTAGATGGAGATGAAGTGTTTTTTTTCTAAGTCATTCGCTCCTTGGGAGAGCGATACATCCTCATGCTGGGCACATTACCCTGACAGTTCTGATGTAGCCATGTAGTGCTCCTGTCGAGGACACAGAACTAGAGGGGCAGAAACTGAAGCTAGGCAAATTAAATGTCAATTTTCTGCTTTTCATAACGAGAGTTTAAATCACTACACTTTTCATATGGTGTAAATCCAACTACAACAGAATGTATACACAATGTTTTAACTTTTCTACAACTAAAATCCATTAAATGCCAATTTTTAAACGCTAATATTAAATGTAGCCCAAGTTGCTACATTGACCCTGAATAGAGGTTACCTTGTTCATGCGTTATATTATCAACCCTCCTGTGCACTGTGAATGAAGCAGGATGTTAATGTAAGCAGAACTGCGCTAACCGGTGTGAAGTAGTAGAAATAATAACAAATAGCATTTCTGTCTGAGTCAACAACCTGGAATATCAAAATGAATTGAGTGCAATGAACTCAATTTTTTTATTTATATTCCTAGCCTGTTGATAAGCCTTACCAGCAGCAGTAGCAGTTTGCTGCTTTTTATAAAATAATAAAATGTCTAGCACTTACGATAAACTGATGTATTTTTTTTCTCGCTCAGCTGACATATTTAGGAAACACGAGACAGGTGTGAAAGCTGCGTCCACACCTGTAAACAGAATATACCTCAGAACAGTGACTCCTCACTGCCATAGGATGACATAGATATTCAAACATACAGAACATATCAGCCGGGATGCTTGTGGTTTTCAAATGGCCCCTGACCCAGGTGTTCCTTCCTTTATGTCTAAGAGCTGTAAGTGTGTATTATTTTGTATTGCTTTACAGCTTTTTTTGTAAATATTTAGATAGGGATTTAGCTTCGATGCATACTAGTATACAGCTGCTGAAACTGGAACGGCTGACATAACTGCCAACATTGACATTTACATAAGCTATTGTGGACAAACTTCTTTGTATAGACCTGCCATCTTTAAAGGTTTAAAATGAAATTTGGTGCTAACATTTCTGAATTTGATTAGATGTGTTTCCTCAGTCGTATGAGTTGTAGATTTTTTCTTTTACGTTTTCAACTTTTTTTTTATAACAATGAAGTATCCTAACCTTTAGAATATGTTGGCATAGTGTACAAATAATATGGGAATTATATTTTTGCCGCATCTTTGAATAGAATGTTACTTTTTATTTTTCTTAGAGAAGAAATGGAAAAACAAAATCCAGGGATTTCAGCGGCCAAGAGCATATTGCTTACGGTTTTTGGGTTCTGTTTATTTACCTCCTGTAGGCCTTCTGAAATAACTACTAAAATAGAGGTAGGGGCATGGGCTAAATGCCATTCATTAGGACAAATGGGACAAAAGCACAAACATTAGTTGTTCTCCATAGTGACGTCCATGTTTTTAGACTTATAATAACCCTTCCTGTTGAACATATCTCAGGGAAGCAGCCTGGATCTCACCTCTGACCCCCAAAAGCACGACATATCCATTTGAGCTAGAGACATGCAAAACATTACACATAGCTACAGGCAGACAGAAAGATACACAAACAACAATACATAAAAGGTTGTGAACTACAGTATAAGACATGTGGTGTATACCATGGTTACCATGCACCTTTTCGCCCTGCTTGTTTTATATTGTTCCTTGTTTTCTTCCTAATTTATGGTCTTTTAGAGAAGAAAAGTGGGTTTTGTGTACACTAATGTCTCAATAAAGTGAACCGCTGTGAAGCTTAATAATATTTTCCTCTTTGTGGGCCGAATTTACTAACGCCTGGAATTCTAACAGGGGCCTGCTTGAGGGTGCCAAATCTAAAACCGCCAGACAACAGGAAAGCAGCTTTCACTCTAAGTCTGCTGTCAAGTGCATCACAGTGGCTCTACTGAGAGAATTACCACCGTTTACACTACTGTGCTGATGGTGTCACGCTATCTATAGTATCTGACAAACCAAACTGTGAAATCCGCTGATGTCCACTGTCCTGACATGCAAGGGGGCGGTGGGCTGATTATCAACAAGTCCCCATCCTAAAATCAAAGCTTATATTAGTATCTCCAATTGTTGTCCCCTATTTTTCAAGTCTCGTCTTTTTCATTCAAGCCTTTGTCATCCCACATGGTGTATGTCAGTGAAAATGTCAGATCACATATCCTTTGAAGACATAACAAGCCCAGCCATAAGAAAGAGTGAATGTGCATATCTCTCTTGAAGCCCTGTTGTTTAAATCTGTAGTTTACACATCATCCATAATCCACACAGTGCACATTCAGCCTCTTCAGGTTCATTTGACTGTGCCCAACAACTGTTATAATGCCTTTTTATTGCCTGGCTTCCTCGGGGAGCAATGATTTGAGGATCAGTCGGGTCAAGATCCCAATTCAGGTGGGTTTCTTTTCTTCTGCTTTGTAATTCGTAGACCAGTGGCATGATACACGGCATGGAACCTACTGAAAGAAACGGGCACGGCATGTTGTGACACAGGGAAGGAAGAAAAACGTGTTAATCATGAAATGATGGAAAGTGTATTGCCCTGTGGTGCTTGGCCAGCCTGGAACAAACATGAAAGGACCCTTTGGACTAGTCACTTGTGTACAACGACACAAAAGAGCACAAGGTTACTATTTCATTCCAAACTGCTGCTAATGTATATTTGGCTAAAAAATTAAAAAGGGAATATGCGGAAATCAAAGTGTTTCCATGTTTGCTGCCATCTCGACACATGAAAATGAATCGGAATGCCAAAAACAAACATTTTGTTGTATAATTTAGTACTAGTAACACTAGTAGTGAGATGATTTTAAAAGTGATACTTTGTTTTGATAATGACATTAATTTTTCAGAATTGTATATAATATGTAGGATTTCTCAGCAATCACCAGGTTCATTTTATGTCCAATGTGTTTTAAAAACGAACCTGAGGTTTGCTAAAAGTTTACAACATTCTTTGATTTGCAGAAGGAAGCATGCAATGTTATGCTCTGTTGATATATAGACATTAAATGTCTTCAATTACATCTGCATAGCATATGGTGAAATTGATGAATGGTAATGGTCTGCTAGGTACGAGGTGAGCAAAAACTTGCAAGAAAAACTGTTGAAGCAAATGCCCTTGCCATGATTCTGTTCTGTAATCATTCTAACAGTGTTTACAAAACGGATCCAAACATCATGTTATTCACAAATGTGCAAAAGGATGTAATATATATCCCTCTTTTTTTTAGAGTCAAATAAAGATGAGCATTCAAAACCAACCAGTGTTTTACTCCTTTTTTGTTTCTACAGGGTGTCCGCGGGGTCTTAAAAAGTATTAAAAGTTGATAAATCAATTTAGCGAAAATGAAGGCTATTAAAAAGTATTAAACGGTATTTTCCAAGGTATTAAATGTTGTAGCTTGTTTTCAATAAGTTATATAAAATTGTCCAAAGAGGTTGTATTCTACAGTGTGCCTGAATGTAATCATTGCGTAGGAGTGTAGTGTGATTCTTTGTAGTTTAATTTATGCCATCCCGTTGGATTTGACGCCATCTGAACAGGACATTGCAACGCTCACTGCTTGATAGCGTGCAAAGGTCTGTTTACGGCCGGTTGTTAAACAACTTCGTTATGGGGAAATGCATGTTGTTGCGTCCAAAATGGTTGGAAGATAAGGGAGGAAGGACACTCAATACTGTATATTAGTAAATGTGTCGCCAATGTAACCGGTTAAAACTCAAAGTGGCGATGAGGTGTTAAAATGTATGGAAAGGGTCTTAAAAGGTACTACATTTGACTTCAGGATTCCTGCATATACCCTGTTCTATGTTAATATCAAATGTTCTCTAGGCATTTTTATTTGCCTGGGGGTATTCGACTGAGCACAAATGTCCTTTTCTTCCCCCCATTGTTTTTCATTGTCCGCTTACAATACCAATACACAACATCTGGATAAACCCTAAATAACATCATAAGCTCTGTACTCATAAACTTGTTTATTTGAGACCAATTCAGGGGGGTTTCTACTTATACATGTGTGAAGTGGTGTGGAGCTAAACAGATGTCCCGGGGGTGTAGATCTCCAGGCAGAGGGCGGGGCAGGGCAGGTATGGGGACTAGCAGGCGGTGTGCAGCAGCTGCAGCAGGCCCTGGATGGGCTCCGTCAGGTTATGGTTTGGTATCAGCTGGCTGGCCTGCAGGGCAGTGTTGCCAAATCCCAGTGCCTGGCACACAAACGGAAACAAACACAGCAGCTGCAGCTGTTAGACTCTCAGGGGAAAGTAAAGCTGACTTATATAATAATATCACTGAAAATTGGATTGCTACCCAGTCGGCTTAACTTATCCCACTTCACCCCTCCGACCACCTGATGTATAGGCTGTCATACTGTCCTTTACAGTTTAGAACAAGGAGAAAATATCAATAAATAATAATTGTTTGATACTGTTGACAAGACCATGCATGCTCAGGTGGAAACATGCCATCGCAATGTGGAATTCATTGAGGTTTGCGGTGGCATCTATGGAATGCCTGCACTTTCCATGGATATGTAAGCAGCTGGGACTAATCATTGTGTATGTATTGCTCAAGTTATCAGTGTTATATCTACGGCTCTCTCATTTGTAAATACCCAGGCTCCTGTGAGGCCTTTTTTTTTTGGAGTTCAATAAACATCAAGAAAAAGTGAGAGTTGGACTGACCAGTAGACTTGTGTGCTTTGTGTCAGAAAAATGTTACTGTTAACAATCACAAGTATCTCCCCTCTCTAAACTGCATCACCACCTCTGTCAATCAAGTGTAGACCACTCCCCCACAAAAGTAAAGCTCCGCCCTTCAGGCCGGTCCACTCACTTCCTCCCCACCAGAGACTGAAGAACAGAGGAACTTTGAGTTGGCACATGGAGCTGCTAATTGTTTGTACTTAAATCAGTTGATGAAATGTTTAGCTTACTTTAACAGACTGTTTTGTTTATGTTAGATCCGCCTTCTAGATTCCATTTGACCCACACCTATGTTAAAGAAAATAATTGAATCCTGTGGATGCATGAAATTATGTAAGTGGAATACTGAACCTTATTTATCATTATTATTATTATTATTATTATTATTATTATTATTATTATTATTATTATTATTATTATTATTATTCTTATTATTATTATTATTATTGTGGTTATTGTAAGACTGCTAATAGTTTGTAAATATCCCTTTTATTTAGATAAAGTCATCCACAGCAGCGAAACCGTTGTCAACATTCATTTGAGAATAAAACGTTAAACGGCCTGCTGGATCCAGTATTTAAATGTTCACACCACATGGGATGTTCGATGAACCACCACTCCAACAAATTATAGTTTCTTCAGTTACTGTAAAAAAATCAAATGTACTTAGGCTAGTTAACCACCGTCCTGGTAGAATGAACCCATCCTTTGTGCCTACAGCTGCCATTTTGCCACTTGAAGTGGGTTCTAACAGCAGGGGGTAACATTGCTTTTTCGGCTCTGCTTGCCACCAGGGTGTATTTCACATTTTGACCTTATAGAAAAACTGTTGGTGAACTCCCGCCGTACTAACCCAAGACACCACAAGATAAAACAATGACAGTAAAACAATCAAACAAAGTAACTAATTGTTGTTTAACTAAGTTTGTAGTATGTGCTTGATCCTGCCCTATCTCTAATCTCTGCCTGCCCAAGACCCAACCTAGTCTTACACATTCACTTCACCATTGCTGCCTTGTTCTCTGAACTGGACGCACAAGAAATACACTCATTCACCCCACATTTAAGATGCAGTTAACACACACCCAAATATTTTCCAAGGGCCTTACAGAGACTCTAGGTCAGGGGTGTCAAACTCAAATACACAGTGGGCCAAATAAAAAAATCGGTACTAGTCGAGGGCCGGACTGGTTCAATGTTTATTGCAAAACTTATTGAAATGAACTTATTGCACATATTAAACCTGGAACTGTCAAAGCTTAAATTATTACCTATAAAAACAACATGAAACATAAAATAATCAGTTGCATTCATTTCTTATGGCTCTAACTGCAGCTTTTCCGGAGTCATTTCTTATGATTACATTTTTCCACAGGCCAACAACAGCTTCAAAAAAACTATTTCCCTCAAAGAAAAAACCAAACATCCCCTGTTGTCGCAATAAAAAAAGTGCAGAAGGAAACATCCATTGAAACTCAGCTTGCTGCTCTGTGATGCTAGTTTAAGCCAGATACTTGGCATCTCATCTTGGGTGCAAGTTCATCAATGTTTGGGGTCAGGCTCTGAGCTGAGGAAACCCTCAGGATTGAGTGAAGGTGTGCGTGCAATATACCGGCGGGCCAGATCTAATAGTAATTCGAAATTATCCTGCGGCCGAAATTAAATCCACCACGGGCCTGATTTGGCCCCCGGGCCTTGAGTTTGACATATGTGCTCTAGGTGGATGTCGGAGTGCCGAGACGGTGAAATAAACTCCCACTAATTCCCACCTCATCTTTACTTTACCAATTAGAGTTAATCTCATCTCATTGAGTACGACCATCCAAAGAAGTAGCATAAAGAGGAAATGGGGGACTGTGTCACTCTGTCAAACTGAACCTTTAATGCCTGGACGTCATCAGGGGTCTTACCTTCAGGGAGTCACCTGCTAGGAACCACAGCATGGCCAGGCAGTGAGCCACCAGTGCAATCTGAGCTGAGTCTTTTCTGGAGTCATTCTGCTCAAACTCCAGCATTGTTCTTAACATCTTATCCATTTCAACTCGCTGGGCTTCATCTGATTAAAAACAATAGATAGAGAGAAAGACGTCCTTTCGTTTTTACAGTATTCAATAGGTCAACATACATTCTGATCTCTGTGCATCTTTTGTATAGATTGTGTAAGCATATTTCCTTCCATTCCCAATATTCCCTGGTAAACCTTCCAGAAAGCCTAGGAAATTACATTTCAGCTAACAGGCTTAGCATTATATGTAGGGCAGCAGCTGCGGTAGAGGGTAGCGGTGCGGATGCTGCACAGCCAGAGATGGTCTCTAGTCAACCCTGAGCATACTTGTGTTAATCTGGGGTTTAGCTTTTGGATTGCGCAAGACAGCTCAGATAAACCTAGGCCTTGTTGACCCTATTTGTTTAGTGATACGATGGATTGCGAATATACTTTTCTGATTCTAAACCGTTTGAACAGTGAGTTGGAACAGTGAGTTGGATTTGGATCGATTGACAAAATCTAAATGTATGTTTTTTTAAATTTAAATAGTTCTATATTACATTTAGATTGTGCATATTTGATGACAAGACTCACCATATGGCTCCAACCCTGTGTCAGGACTTTGGACATTTTGTACGTGGGTGTCGAGGAGTTTGGTCAGATGGCAGTGCCAAGTTTGTGCCACCTACAATATGAACAGTAGAGGGTAAAATATGAAACACATAAGCACATTTCTTGGCCAAATTGCCTTATCATAATAATGTCTGTTTTTTGTTACCTCGGAGTACAAGGAACGAACAATAGGCAACCCCCCAAGTTTGGCATACACATTAGCCATGAGAAAGTATCCTCCACGAGTGACTGTGCTATCCAGGCCATACTCCTCACTGGCAAGTATATCTGAAAAAAAAGAAAATTTGCTTTTTTTACAAGGTGCATTCATAATAGTCAGTATTTCCAACATCCTGACAAACAATATGCATGTACTAAAGCCATGGTGGTGAGTGTGTTACTTATGACACTGACATCATTTGCAAAGTTGAACAGCGCAGCCTCCAGGTTTCCAGTGGCTGTGTGGAGGCGACCCAGGCACCTGTGCAGACGTTGGTGGACCGCGTGATCTGAACTCTTCAGTGCCGCCCACTCCGCCTGGGACAGGAGCTCCGCCGCCCAGGCTAGATTACCCATACCTGGAAAGCACATATGTTTCAATATAAGATAAATGCACATAGTCATGCGTTAAACACTTTATTTTGGAAAGAGGAATGGGAACATTTGAGAAAGCAATCTGTGTTGTTCCTCACCCATGTTAGCCTCAGCCAGCAGCAGGTAGGCTGGGACCATTTGGACAGATCTGGGGCCGTGAACATCTTTAGAGCAGCGCAGGCAGAACTGGGCCGCGGGCAGAGCTTCCTGGTGCTTCCCCTCAGACAGCTTGCTCTGAGCCACCAACCTGCACATCTCAATCAGCTCCGCCTAGGTAAGGAACCAAAACCAAGGTACACTTCAGGTTAGCT